TAACTGGAGCATGGCCACTTTTCACTTTAGATCCACAAGTAGATAAAAATTCCAATGCCAATCATTTGCAACTTTCAATTTGTTCTGGGTATATTATACTTTATATAAATATTTTATTAAAAAATTATATTTAACATTATATATTTAAAGCAACGTATGTCCTATTAGATTTGTGCCAACTAAAGAAGCAAATGAAAGTAATATGGTTGTGATGGAAGTCAATTTGCCTTCTGGTTTTACTGTAGATAAGGAATCATTACCTAGTCTTGAAGTATCACAAAATGTAAAACGAGTAGAAACTAAAAACGGAGATACAATCGTAATATTATATTTTGATGAGGTATAAAAAAAAATATAAATATAATACAAATAATAACTTATATTATTAAGCAATCTAAGATTAGAATACAAATTTACAGATGAGTAGACAAGAATATTGTCCTACAGTATCTGCATTCAGAACACATAAAGTAGCAAAACAGAAACCAGTACCAGTTACTATATATGATTATTATGATTCATGTAAGTTACTTAAATATTAAATATATTATTTTATAATTTATTCAATTAATTAACATCTTTTCATATCAGAATAACTTATTTTTAATTTTAATTTATTATTTTTACTATATTATTTATTTTATAAATTTTAATTTTAGTTAAATTATTAATAATTAATTAATTTACTAATAATTTTATATACTATGTTTAGCAAGAAGAGCAAGAGTATTTTATGAACCACGAAAAGCTACTCTTTGTGATATATGTGAAGATGAAGATTGTGAAGATTTATGTGTTTCGCAACCTGGTAAACAAAAAGATTTTTCACAATCCAGTGCTTCATATTTATCAACTTGTATATATCTATACTCATTATTTACTTCATTTTATATTATATACTTTGGTTATTTGTAATTTTATATATTTTTTAAAATTTTTAAAATTTTACATAAAAATTTTGTATAAACAATTTATAACCAAAGTATATTATATATAAATATCAAGCTTTTTCTATGTAAAATATTATAATCTATTTAAATAATTATAATTTAAATTTTGAATAATTTAATCTTGAGTCATTTGAAATTAATATTCAAAACTTTTTAATAACTTTGTTTTAATTTATATTATATATTTTATATACAAATTCAATTAAAAATATAATACTTTATTCTATTAAACTTTCATATTTTTTTTGTATTCTGATATTTTTATATTAGATATTCTTAAAAATATTCTTTATATTTATATATATTATATGTATTATTAATAATGCATTAATTTTTTATTTATTTATAAATAAAATCCTGAATAAAATATAATAATACAAATTTTTTCTTTCTATTTATTTTTAATAATATTTATAATGCTTTTAATTAATTGAAAAAAAACTATTATAATTTATATAATTATATAAATTAATATAATAATGTCAATTATATATATAAAGATATTAATTATCACAATCATAAACTTAAATAAATGTTTTCTATTTTATTATTTATTTTTTGTATTTTACATCATATTTATTATTATTTTATATTATTTACTTGTCATTTTATATAACCTCGTAAAATTAGAAAGGTTGCTTGTTGCATAAAAATTATGTATATTAGTAAAATTCTGTTAATCGATAACGTCATATCCGTTAATATATATTGTAATAGTATAAAATTGCATAAATAATAAAAATACTCTCTTTATGTATTAATAAACGAAAATAAATTAAAAACAAACTGCGAACAAGAAATAGAAGCATACGTGTATACGATATAACCTTAAAATTTATATAATAGTAGCAATGAAAAATAATTAATGTAAAAATAATGGATAAAATTTTAATAAACACATTACATATTAGTCGACGATTAGCATGTACATCTTCTGCAACATATCAATATTCAAAGTAAGCTAATAAATCTTATTATTAATTTATAAAAACATAAATACAAAATGTAAACAAATTAAAGTTAATTAAATATAAATGAATTAATATTATAAAAGTGTTAATGACTTATATTATTATATTACAGAATTTTTAAAAATTATAGTGTACGTATGTATACAAACTATAATAATCGGTTATTAAAATCATGTTTGCTTCCTGTCACAAAATCATTTAATATTATGCAAAAACGTACAATGTTTATACAAACACAAGATACACCAAATCCCAATAGTTTAAAATTTTTACCTGGAGTTAAGGTATTAGAACAAGGTCAAACTAAGGATTTTCCCAATGCTATAGATGGATATTGCTCACCACTTGCAAAAATGTTATTTCGTATTGATGGTGTGAAATCTGTATTTTTTGGTCCTGATTTTATTACAATAACAAAAGCTGATGAAGATGTAGAATGGAAATTATTAAAACCAGAAATATTTGCTGTTATAATGGATTTTTTTGCATCTGGTTTACCTATATTAACTGATGAAGAACCTGCAGCAGATACTCGTAAAATTCTTTTTTTGTTTTATATATAAAATAATTTATTTAAAATAATTAAAGAATTTATATATTTATAAATGAAAAAATATTTTATACATTTTTTAATTTTAGTAATTTATAAATAATATATTTTACACATATTTAAAAATATTTAAAAATTTTTATTTTTATAATTAATGATACTTTTTTTTATTAGAAATTAGTGATGATGATAGTGAAATAGTACAAATGATAAAAGAATTATTAGATACCCGAATACGACCAACAGTACAAGAAGATGGTGGTGATATTGTATTTATGGTATGTAATACAATCATTTCTCTTTTGTTAACTTAAATTTTTGCATGATAAAATTACAAATATTATAATAGAATAATTTCAAAAGTAAAAAGATATTTAATTAAATTAATTTTTAAATTAAAATATAATATATTTGTAATCAATGATTTAAAATTGAATATTTTAATAAATTGAAATTGACTTTGAATTTGAAATAATAATATTTTAAAATAAATTTAATAATTCATATTTCCGATTTTATATATACAAATAATTACTACTATTCTTTTTTAAATAGTATTGTTAAAAATAATAAAGAAAATATTATATAGATAAAAGTAGTGTTAATATTTTGGATTACAGGGTTTCGAAGAAGGTATAGTGAAATTAAAAATGCAAGGTTCCTGTACAAGTTGCCCAAGTTCAGTGATTACTTTAAAGAATGGAGTCCAAAATATGATGCAATTCTATATTCCAGAAGTTCTTGGAGTAGTACAAGTTGAAGATGAAACTGATCAAATTGCAAAAAAAGAATTTGAAAAATTTGAAGAGAAAATTAAAAATTCTAAAACTAATGAAAAATAGAGTTTTAATTAATGTTTAATAATATTTAAAAAAACTATATATACATATAAATAAATTAAACAATTATTTGTTCGTTTCTTATTTTATTTTAATTTAAAACATTTAACGGCTAGTCACAGAAACTTGCCAGACACGGATAGTATTGTCAGAATAACCAGCAAAGAGTGTTTGTCCATCAGTAGACCATGCTAAAGATAAACAATGAGGTGGTTCTGCTTTACTTGTTGCAGATACAACCTCTGGTTTTAATTCTTCAACCATCTCTTTGGTTTCAAGATCCCATATCTTGATCCAAGGTCCAAATGCAGCACAGAGCCAATAGCGATTAGGACTAAAGCACAAAGCTGTTATAATATCATTGTGATCCAAGGTATGGAGATGTTTTCCATCATTCAAATCCCATAACATAGCCTTACAATCCTATAAATAAAAAAATTAATTTTTTGAAAAATATATAAATATATATATGAAATAATTTTTAATATATCAATTAATATACCAATAATTACATTTAATTTATCATAACATTAATGCATTATGAATATATATTTTAATATTGATTTTATAAATTATTTTGTAATTTCATTGGAGAAACAAAATTTATGATAACATTAATGCATTATATGAATATATATTCTAATTGATTTTATAGATAATTTTGTAATTTCATTGGAGAAACAAAATTAAAATGATACATTGAAAAAATAGAAGAAATCATTATTTTCAATTCATTATTTTAACATTAAAAATATGATTAATTTTAGGATTAAAAATAATATTAAATGATATTGCATAACATTTTTGTAATATATACCTTGCCACCAGAAGCACAAAGCGAACCATCAGGTGACACAGTAACTGTATTAAGATATCCAGTATGTCCACAATGATTGATTTTCAATCTGCAGTTTGTTAAATTCCATACCTACAAACCATTTTATAATAATTATTAAAAATAAAATAATTAAAATTTTATTAAATAATTATAACTAATTTTCGTAATCAGTCCCATATCCGCATACATTCATGAATATCATGCTCAATAAGTATTTATGCATCACATAATGAATCATAAAATAAATATGAATATTTTAAGCAATTAATATACCTTGACTAATTTATCCCAACCTGCAGAAACAATAATGGGATTTGAATGGTTTGGCGAAAAACGTACACAACTGACCCAGTCTGTGTGCCCATCATCTTGAATAGTATACTTGCATTCAGCTAGAGTATTCCATAATTTAATTGTTTTATCTCGAGAACCAGAGACAATTTGACGGTTATCCACAGAAAAGGCAACACTTAAGACATCCTGTTAACATAACCATTTAATTTTTATAGTTAATTTATCAATAACATAATTTTGCATATCAAAAATATGATTAATACTTACAATACTATATATTTAATTGCCCACCTCTTCTATTTATTAAATATAAAAAAAAAAATAATATAAAAAAAAGCTTCAGTATATTCCTAAACATTCATACAGTTACATCTTCTGCCAATGGCATTCAATAAAAAAAATTAAAAAAAAAAAAAGCTTCCATATATTTCATGAGGAGCGACGATAGATCAGAAGAAAAATTTCACACCTTGGTATGATCTTCAAATCTTCTTGTGGTACGACCTGCAGCCAAATCCCAAAGGCGAAGAGTTTTGTCCCATGAACCAGACAGAGCATAATTACCATCAGACGATAGAACTACATCACTAATAAAATGAGAATGACCATACAAGCGTTTTTGAGGAATACCATAATTAGCTTCATCACGTGTTAATTTCCACACAATCAAAGTTTTATCTATAAATAAAATATATAAATTTTAAAAATAATTTTTTGATCATATATAAAATTAGCTTCTTTAAAATTAATTAAATATAAATGAATAGAAAATAAGATTAAATATATACATAAAAATTTTAATATTATTTTGGTAAAATAAATATATATAATTATAATAATTAAAATAAAATAAAATATAGAAATAAAAAAATTAGAAAAAATAATTATATCATCTCTCGTTTAACACAGTCCAATTAACATCAAACAATACGTTTATAATATGATGCTATATAATATACGATATAATATGATGCATGAAAAAATATAAAAAAAAGAAACGAGTAAATAGAAGTATTTAAACTATTTCAAATAATTTTTTGTTATAAAACAATTCGATTACTTAAAAAATAAAAGTTTTCACAATTTTCTTATTTTATCTTAATTTTGTGAACATATAAGTAATATAAATATATATATTGTAATATGAAAATTTTAAGAAATAATTGCATAAATTATAATTTTATATATATTTTTATATTTGATTAAAATTATTTCATTACAAAATATTTTATAGAAATTAATTAATTAGATTACGCGAGAAATTACTGTTTATTCTATTTACCTCGTGAAGAAGACAATATCATATCCGGATATTTTGGATTTGTAGCAATTTGGGTAACCCATCCATTGTGTCCCCGAAGAGTACCTCTTAATTGAAGAGTTTCAGTCATTTTACAATTACGTTAAAGTATTTTACGTTATAGATTCAAATAGATTCCGTTCTACGATTCACATTCAACAACACGTTGAACGAAAAGAACGATGAACCTCCCCTTTTCAAATATGTATATTATCACGACTTATATCTTTTGTAGATGTGCAACTCATATGTACAAAATATAAATCTTAAAGTATATGCATAATATATATAATAGAAAATTTTAAATATTTCATTGAAAAATTTTTAGTAAAGTTTAAATATATCTTAAGATATAACTTAAATTATAATATATCAATATTATTAAATTCATTTTAATATAAAATTTTATTTTCTTTTTTAATTGTTTATATTTGAAATCATTTTATTATCTATTGATAAAAGACAATATTAAAAAAGAAAATAACGAATTATGTAAATTTTAACAACTTAATAATATTTAAAACAGTTATATCAAATTTAATAAATTAATTAGAGTTAATTAATAAATTACTTTTTAATCAACATAAATTCTCAACGGATTGAACCTTGGCTCAGTTAAATGAATAATTAATTAATCGGATAATATCCAATAATATCATATATAAATTATAAATAAAATATATGTACATATATATATGCATAATATTTTTTACTTATATTTAAAATTTAGACATAATATAATATTATCAATATTATACATTAACAAAACTATAAAAAAAAAATCACAATTTATTTTTATCAATCAATTAAAACGAAATTTGAAGTTTAATATATTAAATAAGTTTACTATATAAAATAAAGAAATTAATAGAATAGTATACATAGTGATAGTAGAGTATTAAAAATAGATTACATGAAAACCAACCTTATAATATGAATTTTAATATTAAGGTTATATATTTCAAAGTATTCAAAGTGCAACGAAATTAGAAAAAAATATATGAACATAAATCTTATAAATATTGTTATTACTCAAAAAAATAAGAAAATTTAAACGAAATAATAAAAATTTATAAAATAATGGCCAAACAAGGAAAAGATTTAGCATTGTCAATGTTGCGAACATTACCGAGGCTATCTTTAAATAATATTCGAGATAATCCTGGTGCAAGAAAAGCTGTTAGTATTACTTTGATATTATATTTAATATGTTCAAAATTAAATTTTATATAAATATTTGAATATTTTTATTTTTATTAAAGATATTTTTTAATTTTGATATTTTATTTTTATATAGAGATTTAATTTAAATCACATTGCTTAAATGGATATAACAATATTTTTTTACAAATATGTAACCATTACATTTAATAATTATTTTAAAAATTATACATTTTTACAGCCAAAACGTGGTAGAGGACAACATGGTGGAAATAAACATGGAGCTGGAAATAAAGGTTCAGGTCAAAGACAAAATTTTATGAGACTTGGATATGAAACTGGAAATAATCCATTTTATCTTAGATTTAGTTATGAACCATATTATAAAGGACATCAGTAAGTTATATATATATATATATATTATATAATAAATAATATGTATGTTAAAGAATTTTTTTTTATATATTATAATTTTTTATATTTCTTCTAAATATATTTTTTATATTTATAATTTGGATTAAAATTATTTTATATTAACTTAAAAAAAATTAATATAGATTTATTTTTATATCAATTATATTAATTAGATCATAGATTATTGAAATATAAAATGAGATATATTATATAATCTTATTTTATTGATGTTGTAGTTTAAGAAGAGAATATCCTCCTTTATCTCTACAAAAATTACAATTATACATTGATACAAACAGAATAGATCCATCTAAACCTATTGATTTTGTATCTATAATCAATACTGGATTATATGACTTTAAAATAGAATGGAAACATGCAGGTATTCATCTTACAGATGAGGTATTACAATTAAATATTAAATATTATGTTTAGTTTAAAATAAAAGTTATATTTTGATATTATTTTTAGGGATCTGATAATTTTAAAGCAAAAGTAAATATAGAAGTACAATGGGCTAGTGAACCTGTAATTGCAGCAATTGAAAGAAATGGTGGTACTATTACTACTGCTTATTATGATACTAATTGTTTATTTGCAATGCAGGATGTTGAAAGATTTTTTACTACTGGTAAATTTTTAATGTATATTATAAATAAAAGTTATATTAAACAGTAATTGATAATATATTTAAATCATGTTTATTATTTAGGGGAACCAATACCACGCAGATTACTACCTCCAACAGATTGTTTAGAATATTATATGAGTGCAGCAACAAGAGGATATTTAGCAAATCCTGAAGAAATTTCTCATGAACGTTTGATTTTATCTCAAAAATATGGTTATGAATTACCAAAAATTGAAAATGATCCTGATTATGAAATGCTTGTACAACGTAAAGATCCTAGACAATTATTCTATGGTCTTTCACCTGGTTGGGTTGTTAGTCTTAAAGACAAAGCAATTCTTAAACCTAAAGCTGAATATCTTAAGAAATTTTATTCAAGTTAAAATATTTATTTGTAAAATGTATTTAATAAATAAATGAATAACTTTTAAAAATAATATATATATACAAAACAATTTTTAAAGTAAAAATTAGAATTTTAATTTACGACTAAATTATTGCAGATATATTTTTTTTTCTATATAAGTAATATAAATAATTTAAATAAATGTAACAAATTAGAATAATCTTAAATAAAAGAAATCTTAAACATGTAAAAATAAATGCAAATTTGAAGAGAATATGTTTAATATTTCAGATTATCATATATATTTTCTTGTTTTAATTTATGTTTTTAGAAATATTTCGTAATCATATGTGAAAGTGAATATTTCTTAAAACATAACCTAAATATATGGCATTTGATATAAGTATAATAAAAGTAGCATAAAAATCAGTGACCTCATTATCACGCAATGGAGTATTGTCAATAACAATGCAGTGTTTTTTTATAATAGCTATATAAATATTTCAATCCATTTTTCCTATATAATATTTGCTTATGTCAACGATTTAAAAATGGTATTTCATATTGAGACCGAAAAGGATTATGGATTTTTGTTAAAAAGTTTAATTGCCGGTGGTGAGTTATATTTTTATATTTTTATGTTTAATAATTCTTTCTTATTTAATTATTTTATAATTAAATTAAATATTAAATATTAATATTGGTAAAAATTGAATTAGAACGTTTATATTTTAGTAGAATATTATATCTTTATTTATACTAATTATATATTAACAATATTTTAGTTATTTTATAATTTTTTTATACTTATAACAATATTTATTTTAATAATATTTCAAAATTTTTATTATTAAGAATATTTTTTTAAAAAATTATTACATATATTGTTACATATTTATTATATTTATTATATCTTATATTTATATTTTTAATAATAATTAAAAATTTTATTATTAATAATAAAAATTTCATAGGAGTAGCTGGAATGTGTTCAAAAACAACAGTGGCTCCATTAGATAGGATAAAAATATTATTGCAAGCACACAATAAATATTATAAGCATTTAGGTAAAAAAATATTATAAAAAAAAAATTTTAAGCTTGTATATATATAATATCTTTACATATATAAATTTAAACATTTGATTATTTTAGGAGTCCTTTCTGGATTAAAAGAAGTTATTCAACGTGAACGATTTTTTGCTCTATATAAAGGAAATTTTGCTCAAATGATTAGAATTTTTCCATATGCTGCGACACAATTTACTACATTTGAATTATACAAAAAGGTAATTACTATTTAATCTATGATAATTTGTAATAAAACAATTAAAAAAATAATACCAATTTGTTCTGGGTAAAGTGGTTCCACAGAGCGAAGTAACCGTTATTAATATAAAGACATGCTCATAATTTAAAGGTGAGCCTTTACAATTTAGATTCACTTTTGTATTTATGTATGCGGATGCATACATAAACACACACAGACAGATATAAATAAGTTCATAAAAATATATTTGATAATTTAAATTTACGAATATAAAATAAATATATAATTTTGAATGGGGGGATATAAATAAATTTTGTTAAAAAAATAAATAAATAAATGATAAGATTATAAAAAAAAATCATCTTTAATTTTTATCAGTATTTAGGAGGTTTATTTGGAAAGCATACACATATAGATAAGTTTCTGGCTGGATCTGCAGCTGGTGTTACTGCAGTTACATTAACATATCCACTTGACATCATCAGAGCCAGACTTGCTTTTCAAGTTGCTGGAGAACATATTTATATAGGAATTGTACATGCGGGTATTACAATTTTTAAAAATGTAAGTTATATCAATTTACATCTTATTAAATGTTAATTGATTATAATCTATATTGATATTTTTATGGTATTTATTAATTTATGATGTTTTTTAAAGGTAGAAGATAAAGTTCAATGTTTTATTAAATTTCATATATTTTTTTATAATAATAAAAAAATATTGAATAAATTATTAATATATCATTATATTATCTCAATATTCACTTTTAAGACATATTTTGAATGTTAATTTTTAAAATATAAAATATATTTTGTTAATATTGTTCAAAATTTTAGGAAGGTGGTATTCGAGCATTGTACAGAGGATTTTGGCCAACTATTTTTGGCATGATTCCATATGCAGGATTTTCATTTTATTCATTTGAGAAACTAAAATATTTTTGCATGAAATATGCATCAAATTATTTTTGTGAAAATTGTGATAGAAATACTGGTATGATCAATTTTACATTTTTCTAAATTAAAAATTATTATTATTAAATTAAAATTATTAATAATAATATGATTTTAGAAAACATAAATATGAAAGATATGTAATATATTAATATAATATAATATAATAATTCTTAAAATCTTATATTAATATAATATAATAATTTAAATTTAATCAATATATAATAATGATTTATAATATATAATAATTTAATCAATATAATAATCATTTTTTTTAATTAACATGTAATCAAATTCTTCTTAATTTATAATTAAATTTTAAAACTTTTGTATGCATTTTTGTATGCAATTGGTAAACAATTTTTCATATTAAATAAAATTATAATTAAATTTTATAGTTTTAATTTATATAATTACTTTCAATATTTACTAAAATTCAGTTATCTATGTAATTACAGGTGGTTTAGTTTTAACTATACCAGCAAGATT